CCTACGCTAGGGCTGTTTGTCACCTGGCAGAGGGGAGATGCTGCACTTGGTAGGCCTACATGGATCACACTGCGACCATCCCCATCTTTGAAATGCAGACTACAGTTGCGAGCATGCTTTCGCCCCTCTTGATCCTGGTGTACAGAGGTTTTGTGTCTGCAGTCTCCTAGGTCCATTCCTCCGTAGCAGGGATGCTGGCTGCTCGCCCCCCTTCTTTGGGCCATGCTCTGGACACTCTTACGTTTGCTTTAGGAACAGCCGCTTGTCCAGCCACCTGCCCTAGGGAGCGAGGACCTTTGGCTTGGTGAGGCTTTTGCCTGGGCCCTGACCCGCACGCAGTCCTGCAAGGGCTGGCTGTCTGCCTCGGTCAGCCTGGTCTCTCTCTGTTGTCTGCTGAGAGCTTTCCTGTCTGTGTTTCGTGTCCTCTCCAGTTCAAAGCTGTGTAGTTGGTTAATGGCTTAAAATGGTTTCCCAGGGCGTTCAGGGGCTACGCAGAGAGGAAGAGACGGAAACGAGAGAATGATTCTGCAGCTGTTATACAGAGGTAGGGCCCGTTTCCCCCCGTAGCCATAACCTCGCCTGGTGTTGCATGGGCCCTTCGGGTGTCAGCAGTGACGCTTGATGACGTTGAACGTGGTCGTCCCTGTCTGTAGTCCTGTTCGTAGGGACACCAGCAGTGGCTGTGTTGGAAGTGTGGAGGTGAATGATGCTGCAGTGCTCAGGATGGCTGATCTCCATCTTCTTAAAGGAACACTGTCAAGTTTCTTTTAAGCTTGCATAAGTGTATTTACTTCTCTGTATTTGCAGAGTACATAATATGTATAAATATCTGGCTTGTTTGTCAAGTGTAATTATTTTTTTTTTTTTTTTTTTTAAAGAACAGAAAAGAAAGAAAAGAGGATGGGGACTGATTCCTTGTCCGGGTGTTACAGAAGGGCCCTGGTTCCCTTCTGCTGGCTTCACAGAGCACATCACTTAGCCACTGTGGTGATCAGAACTGTTCTGGTTCTTTAAATGTGCCGAGGCTCATGTGTGTTGGCAGCCTGCTAAGAAGGATAACACAGCATTTGTGTCATTGGTTAAAAGCTGCCGTGATCGCTTCAGTACAGTTGAAAATAAAGTGGGAGAAAAACATCAGGTTTTCTTTACTGGGAAATTGCCAGGAAGATGAGATTTTTTTTTTTAGCAACTGAAGGATGGTGGTTTTTCATCAATAATGAAGAGAAATAAGAATCAAAACTAAAGATGCTGTAAATAAATAGACAGTGTATCTTTAAAAAGAAAGAGATTTCTTGGAATTTTGTAGACAGAGGCAGGTCTTTGTTAGCAAATGGCTCATTCACCTGGCTTACGGATCCAGGAGCAGGAGCTGTGCACCCCGGCGGTGCTGAGGACAGAGAGCAGAGTCAGGCCAGCCTGGCGTTGCGCAGCGGCGTGTCCCCTCGCCTCCTGTGGACATCGAAGGTCTGGGCAGGATTGTACAGCGGGAGCCCGTCCACATTCATCTTGTGATGAAGAGGAGACAGGAGAGCGATGAATGGCGTTTGGCTGTGCTGAGCGAGCGGACCCTGGCCAGCTGTAAGGGTTGCTGGCAGTTAGCGTTCGGCTCTTTTCTCCTGGGAGCGAGGAGGACCCCAGCCCCACCGCTGTTTCGGATGCTTGCGGGGCAGCCCTTCGTGGCCTCAGGGGTTTTGGAAGTTCAGTTGTTATCGCACAGCCCCTGCAGGGCTTGGCCCTGCGTGTCCGGTGCGCAGGTCTGCGTGGTGTGGCGTGTGCTGGGGCCGTGGACGTGGCCTCGAGAGCGAGTGATGCCCGGT